TGAAAATATATTAGGTGACACCGGACCGATTGATTATGGCTACAAACCAAATTTGAAGCTTCTAATCCCTCTGCAAGCTCAAAAACTTCTAATGCACGGGCTACATACACCACCCTGTATGTTCCCAATAATATTGATTACTCTCTGTCCAACCCAATAACCCTTTTCACGTGGTTCCGGCTTAACATACCGCTCAAATTCGAGTGGTAGGTATCCATCACGTCACTTTGTAACCGGGCTAGAAAACGGTATGTCATTTCTCTAACCGTTTTGTAACCCGGTTAGTTAAACCGGAGCCACGTGAAAAGAACTAATGGTCCAACCAACCTACGGAGTAACAAACAACAAAAACCTTCAAAAAGGTTCGTTACTATTTGTCATTTATCAGCCCACTTTACACTGTACAGGCCCATTTTCGATGTTTTAATGGGCTATATCAAAAACCAGTAGTGATGCCGCGAGACGAGACTAAAATGACACTCTCGTCTAGTCTCGTCTCGTCTCGCCCTAATCTCGTCTCGTCTCGAGGCCATTTAGTCTCGACTTCGAGACGAGACGAGACTAAAAGAAGCGAGACGAGACGAGATTCTCGACTAATCTCGTCTCGTACTTCAAATAATCGTTTTAGTTTCTTTTTCAATAATGTTTCAAAGGAGCTACCTACAGGAAATCTTTTATTCGATAGTAATATAACGAAAGCAATGGAAATTATCGAAAATTTTTGTCAAATTTTCCCGAATGCATTTTCAGTTGAAAAAGAGCACAAGTGACTTTTTCAGTTGAAAATGCATGAGTGCAAATTTGTCAAAAATTATAGATTTATTTCCATTGCTCGAGTTGTATTTTATGGGAGAATTCCATGAATCAAAAATTTGAATTTTTAGTATACCCTCGTCGTATAAAAATGTCACTGGTCACAAAAAATGTCAAATGCCACCCATTAGTGTGCAATTATGTTTTGACAGATGAATGAAATTCTCTTCAAGATTGACGAATTCATTAACTACTTACTCAAGGTTATGAAAAGTAAAACACACCATATTTTTGTATTTATTCCTGTTACATGAATTTTATTGAAAAAATGAAAAATTTCTAACAATAGTACATTAAAATACAAGTTTCATAAGACGCCATTTTATCGCACGAGCCCTATATTAGAAAACGAGCCGGAGGCGAGTTTTCTAAAGGGCGAGTGCGATAAAATGTCTTATGAAACGAATATTTTATACTATTTTTTCTATTTTGTTATTGTTTAATTTAAAAAAAACAAATTTTTCTTGAAAATTTTATTCTCATATTTCCTGTTTTCATAGTTTATGTTGGTGACACTACATGCCAAATATAGAAATCTTCTATTATAAAATCGCGAATGACAGTTCGATGGCCATCAGTCAGCCAGTGTTACCAACCTCCGATAAGTAAAAAAGGAGTGTTACAAAGAGCTTCTTTTCGAAACTACTTTTAGTGTCGAAAAGACTTCGATATGACACCAAAATAGAAAAAATAAAATATATTTAGTACCTACCCTACCTGAGGCTTGCAATACTGCTGAAGCACAAAAAAGTGCTTCTACTCCGTATGCAACACGCTATTTTTTCTCCAAACGAATGGGGTAAGCTCGGGGGTAACTGAATGGTTAAGCGGCAGTAAAAGTACGAGCGGCACTAAAAGTACTTTTGCTGCCGCTCCAGCGGCACTAAAAGTACTTCTACTGCCGCTGCGGTTGCCTAGCAGCATAGAAATTAAATTTCTACCACCTCGACAGGTGTTAACCCGCTGGAATTGTCTACCAGCATAGAAATTAAAGGACCCCATGAGAACTTTTTATCAGGAAGTCAAGGTCTATCACATATTAAAATTTCATTGAGTTTGACAGAAAACCAAAAACCCATAAGAGGTGTGCGGGGTCCTTTCTAACATCTTGACAGGTGCTGACAAAGTGACGTTTTTTAGACGTTTGGAGAAAAAAGAAGTTAGGTCTGTTCCCACAGGAGTCTCTGACAGTTTGCAACCTGTCAGAAACAATCGCTCAGCTGAGTTACAGATTTATCTTGTAACGACAGCATTGAAAACATGTATGGGCGATGCTTACTGACAGTTTGCAAACTGTCAGAGACTCCTGTGGGAACAGACCTATAGTCTGGCTGATCTGTGAGTATGGGTAATATGTCTGGCAGGTGAAAAACTGAAAAACCGCAAATTTTTAACCAGACAAACTTTCCTTCACTTGGGACATGCCAAAGCCTTCATAAATGATAGGTATATGGTATATGCAGTGTTGTTCCTGGAGAAATTTCAAATGAACTGAAACCGCAAGGATAATAAACACTACAGGATTGCCCATAAGGTCTGTGTAGTTCAAATCTCAAGCTCTCCACTACGCAAAAGTACCACTGATGACGTAGTCAGCGTGTCGTTCTTCGCTTTAATGTCGCTTTGTCGTAAGGTGTTTGCACCAAAGGCTATGATTCTGCTGACTCGAGGGAATTTTCCGCGCTGTAACCATGTAACATTTCTACTTGTAGTTACATCATACCATTTTTTTTTCTACTTAGGGTTACCTCATACCTCACCGTTTAATATGTCAAATGAGATACCATGACGTCATAGTATGATCATACCTGGTTACTTGTCGTTACAGCGCGGAAAATTCCCTTTTGGCTTTATGAACTTGGTTTCAGTACATTAATTAGCATTCAAAAACAAACCTTTCGTTAAAATCTTTTCTTCATCTTCATCTCTACATATTATGTCATCAATCATAAATTTGAATTCTTAACTACGACCGCTGGCGCAAATAGTCGTCGGCACCGTTGATGACGTTGGCAACGGTGCTACACCATATGATGTTGATGCGACAAATCGAGGCCGATGAGCAATCCTGTATCCTGTAGTAGTGTTCATTATCCTTGCTGAAACGGGTCAAGCGATTTTACTGTTTTCAGAGCAAATTGTACTGTTTTCAGAGCCAACTGTACTGTCGTAGGAAGTTAAATAAAACATGCTGTTAGCCATAGCTGTATTCCTTACACACAAGGAGGGGCTCCGGAACAGCTCCGTGACGTTTCGCGCGTTTGTTGCACTCGAAGTGCTCAAGCCCCAATCCCTCCCTTCGGTCCTTTCCTCTCACACACCATCTCACGAGCGGTTCCTTTCAAAGCGGGATAGAGTCAAGTAAGAGCGCTAATGTTTCAAGCTCTCGAAACAAATACAGCTATTGCGTTTCTTCTAGCTCTGGACCAGCTGGACATTGGATTTTATTTAATACGAAATCCGAACCAAACCAGCAAGAAAAATCCATAGGTTATGTTGTACAATGCAAGCGATTTTTTCGCGAGACGAGATCAGACGAGACGAGACGAGACTCTATGAATCTCGTCTCGTCTCGAGTTAATCTCGAGGTCGAGACGTGACGAGATTGATGCTCAGGCGAGACGAGACGAGATCAACCGCTAATCTCGTCTCGTCTCGTCTCGCGGCATCACTAAAAACCAGCAGAGATATCAAAAATCTGGGAGCACATTCTCGACCTCTTTTTTTGGGAAAATAACAATGGCGAAGACAAATCACGACTAACTTGATGCGTTTAGGAAATACAGGGCACTTTTCAAATTTTGCACAATTTTAGAAGACCTTCTATATTCTTTATTAATCAAGATATCCAAAAACGAAAAATACTTTCTATAGGCAGTATTTCAAGGAGAAACCAGTGGCATGACCAATTTTTCTTCAGATGCCTTCGATTTTGGAATATTGACCAAAGTTGTGTTTTTTAAATCTGACACCCCGTATATTATTTTTTTATTGAATAGCTCTTTGTGATCTGATTTCATTGATATAGGGTATTATACCTCTACCTCCAATAGTTTTAGAGAAAAAAAATAAATTCCGTTTTTTCTATAAGAAACAATGAGTTAGAAAGAGATAGTTGAACTATGAATCGGCTACAAATGTCTTAATTCCTAATTTAATTTTTCAGTTCAGCTATTTTTTTTAAAATTTGAACTATGAATCGGGAATGATAAATAGGCAACACATAATCTATTTATTGACTTATCTCTCTCTAGCTCATTGTTTCTTATGGAAAAACGGAATTAATTTTTTTTTTCTCCAAAACTATAGAAGGTACAAAACCTTATATCATTGAAATCAGCTCACACACAGAGCTATTCAAGGAAAAAATAATAAACGGGGTGTCCCATTTAAAAAAATACAACTTCTGTCAATATTTCAAAATCGAAGGCATCTGGAGAAAAATTGGTCATGCCACTGGATTCTCCATGAAAAACTGCCCCTAGAAAGTATTTTTCGTTTTTGGATATCTTGATTAATAAAGAAATTAGAAGCTCTTCTAAAATTGTGTAAAATTTGAAAAGTGCCCTGTATTTCCTAAATGCATCAGCCGTGATTTGTCTTCGCCATTGTTATTTTCTCAAAAAAAGAGCTCGAGAATGTGCTCCCAGATTTTTGATATCTCTGCTGGATTTCGATATAGCGTATTAAAACATCGAAAATGGGCCACCCTGTACAGTGATGTTTTGTAAAATTTTGAAAAAAAGTCTGTTTTTTTTTTTTAAAGATAATTCCCCAAGTCAAAAATTTAGTAACTATGTTGGCAACACAAGCCTTTTCTACATAAAAAATTTGAAAGCATTGACAATTTTGCATTGTATTGCCAACATAATGTCATTTTCACAGTCATTTTGATTTTTATCTTTAAAAAAGAAACAGGCATTAAATAAATGTCATAAATCAGTGTTCAATGTAAACCTGGCCGCCATTTTGACTCTGTCATACTCCGTAGGTTCGTTGGACAGAGTTTAATACCTAATTTCTCTTTTAAATATATGTTGTCCAATTTCACCGATGCCTACTTTTTTGTTTAAGATTTTGTTTGATGGTGGATTAATTATCAGTATGGTCATCACGTGGTTACCCCCTTGCAGACAGATTTGAAAAATATAATTATATTCATTCGCATATTCCATGTTGTTTTTCAGATGGAGAGTTAGAAACTCACAAGTACCTATTTGCAGATGAATTTATTAAACATCTACGCAAATTCCACCAACAAGGGTACGTCCAGTGTGGATATCCCGGATGTACCCAGAAGTTAGACCCCTCCGCGATGCTTAACCATTGGGCAATGTTCCACAAGGTTGGCATTTATCAGTGCAGCTATTGTAAAGCGAATAGTAAAGAAATTCGGAGGATGTACAGCCACTTTGCCCAAATGCATCCGAATTCAATGCCTAATATTTTGGTTAGGAAGAACAAATCTTCTTTGCTGAAGGTAAGTTTCAATTATCACATTTTATTTCGTAGGGCTCGTAGCATCATTCACTTGAAGAAATTTATGTTAACATGCTAAATAAAATATTAGTAAATATTGTCACGAATTCCAGGTTCATTAAACACGTTACAAACAATACCAGAATTCAACTACATATTATAGCGGGTGTTTTTCAAAACCCAGTAACTTTTTGACCGGAAGTGACTCTAACTTTCTTTTATCAAATGAGACGCAAAGCCAGATACAATGACACCTCATTTGTTACTTTTTGACATTACATTGCATTGCATTGCTTGCAGATTTACTCAATACGAGTAGTTTTGCTTTATAAGACAATAGAGAACCCCGAATTCTCCAATCATTGGGTACTGACGCTAATTGCAGACCGATTTAATATCCTCGAAAGGCTCATTTGAAAATATGTAATGGAAGCGCATTTTTAGAATTATATCAATTTTTTCAATTGGAGATAGCCTGGCTCATTAGCATATTCCGAAAAAGCATTTTCTAACGAACAATTCAGTACTACTTACCCTATCGCTAGTTCACTACCTTTTATACTTAATTTGATGAATCTTCTAGCATTCTAAATATTTTAGGAAAATTTTAGTTCAATGTTTGCGATTGTGTGGTTTTAAATTGTTCCCTAGAAAATACTCTTTCGGAATATGCTAATGAGGCAGACCCTTTCCATTAGACAAAATTGATATAATCCAAAAATGCGCTTCTACTATTTTTAAATATCCCATCTATAAAGCTAAATCACACGTATAAGGTAACTCTGACCGTGTTAAAGTAATGCAAACTCATGGTATGAGTAATTAGTAGTGTGTTGGAACTTTCGATAAATACTTTTGTTTTTTCAAAGAAATGATCCAACAATCTTCTCGAATATCATTTACTTTTTCCAGCAAAAAGAAGTCGGATTTACAGATGAGGCCTACCAATACCTTGGCCACATAACAAAATTTCCTGCCAATCTAATGGATCGGTCCAAATATGAAAAAATCAAAATAATCGAAATCGAGTCAGATGTCAGTAAGACGACTGAAGAATTTAATGCGGCTTCGATTCCACCTAGAACTTCGGCTTCTATCTAATACCCTATTTTCACCGATCCCACAAAACAATACCCAGTTACATCTTTCAGATACGTCTAGCAGTAACAGTGACCAAGCTTTTCTATTATCTAACAATTCTGTGATGTCCAAGTCCAAAGTACCATCCGTAACATTTACTGAGTCTATTGGCGAAGTCTCATTTCAAACTTTTAAAACACCATCAAATCTATCACCAACCATCTATCAGTTAAGCTATAAGAAGGAACTCTTCAAAAAAGCTCTGCCTTAAAAAATGTACCTCATTTCAGTATAATTTTTAAAGCATATAGCTGATAAAGAAACAGAAAATTATATCTTGTTATTATGAAGTGGCTAAAGCAGAAGTGGACCTAGATCTTTCAAATTACCACTTCTGAGGGGGATAACTTGGAGAATAAAAAATTTAAAAAAAGGGCGAATAATAAAAATATTGAAAACACAGTAAAAACAAAGCCAAAATAAACAAAGAGAGGTGCTGGCCAGTTGGTAAATCCCGTGCTACAAAACTTTAATTGTGGATTTCATTGATTGCTTGGTGAAAAAAAATAGTGCCACAAAGGTTTAACTATAAACAGGGTATTATTATTATTATAGAATGTAGATGTAGTTGTTTTTTTTTTAATAAGGTTCCTATACTGTAGGTACGTTTTCTTGACAGTATTTTGATGTATGATATTGTATGTACAGGGTGTCCAAGATTCGATGGTTTTAGCGGATTTCGGGTACTACTTGCGAGCCTCGATTTTCAAGAGAAGTTGACCGGTGAAACCCGCATCTCGATGTCTCGATTCGTTTTTAAGCTACAAGGGGAAAAGTTGACCAAATTTTCATAAATAAAAAAGTTATAGCCCCCCTGTCAAACTCGAAACTTTTCAAAAACCCCTCGTAGCATAATAACGACTCGACATATCGAGATGGGGTTTTGACCAGTCAATTTCTCTTGAAAATCAAGGCTCGCAAGTAGGGGTCAGATTTTTTCCAACTCCTTTAGAAATACCCGAAACCCCCCAAAACCATCGAATCTTGGATACCCTGTACTTTAAATTGTGAAAAATGTTCCGATTGTGACTTTGATGAAGGCTGTGTCTTTTTACGTAACTTGTTTAACCCTCTTTTGACGTATTGAGTATAATTTTTATTCGACCATATTAATACCAATTGTCTTTAACAGTTTCGGTTAGTGTGCATAATTGTTATTTTCGATAAACTAGCTTAGGATGTGCATATTTAATAGTAATTAACTTGGTCGCATAAATGTAATCATTTCCAGGCGTGCATTTTTTTCATGGATCCCATGTTTTCCAGAAAATCAAGTTTGAAATTGATACGCGCCTGTTTCTTGTTCTTTGTTATAAATTGTTATTAACTTCAATAAAAATATAATATGTTTTCCATGCTGTTTTTCTACCATTGAATAGTTTTGGAAGAAAAAAATGGGACTAAGGTGAGGAGCAAGAACTTCAGCTCCCTAACATAAGTTTGAGGTTCCGAAAGTTTCGGTTAGTTAGAGCAGGACTTGTTCGAATTATATTTTGTAATTTGGTCATATTTCGAGAATAATATTCGATTTTACATTTTCAGAATGGAGCATGAAACTTTTTCTTTTAGAGAATCTACTAGAATGTTCTGCTAGCTACTCCAAATCCTGAAAATCAGTCTAATGTTATGCTTTTGACATTCGCCAAACATCCATTAGAACATTTTTCCAGTTGTGATATTGCTAAAAAAATTATAAAAATATCTGAGATTTTTCCTTAAAGTTTCAATGAAAATTTTATTAGACTTAAGGTGTGAACCTTCGATGTTCATAATATATTCTATCCTAAATAGAAAAGTTATGAAGCTTTAATAGTAATTCACAATATTGTTCAAAATCGAGAAACTTCCTCTAGCGGCCCCCCCGAGGAGCCGTGGGACCTTGACGCTGGTAGGGGGGGCCCAACGGCCGGCTCTCCCTGAGCTCGCCTCGTGGGCTGGTGAGGGGCGGCAGTTGCTAAGGACGGCTCACAGGGCTCAATCCAAGGTGGAAGCCACCGTGCCGAGGGATATATGATCCCTGAACCCCAATCAGGTATCGCGAACGATGCCTGCGGAAAACCAGGCGACATTCCGCAGTATTTAGCCTTACTGCGACATGCCGGGCTCTGTCGTAGCGGACTTTTATTTCCCTTGCCACTCATGGGACCAACTATGGACCATTCTAAAAAACAAAAAACCTCTTCCCCCTCTACCCCCCCAACCACCCCTTCCAGCACTGTCGCAGGCTCTGTGAACACAGGGAATGCGACAGCTGTCCAGCTTCCCTCCGAGAGCTCTGCCCGGCATTAACTATTCCCCCCGAGACCTCTGCCCAAGCAGCGATCTCGGCACCCACTTCATCGGAAGGACCGTTCACGCATGGCCCTTCCAAGGCAACCGACGTTGACGACCTCGCTAGCGCCCTTAACAGGGCTCGGCTTAATCGCCGCAACATAAGTGGTGCGGAGAAGAAGAGGAGGAGGAAAGCTAGGGCTGCCGAAACGGCTCAGGGCTCTTCGGCCCGGCCTCCTTGGCTGCCCCGGCCTCGACCTCTTCCCCCAACAGCGAGCCCAAGGCTTCTACAAAAGAGGCACAGGGTCCCCGCGCTAAGCAGCAAAGAACCCCAGGCTCCACGCCTATCGAGCGCGCGAGCGGTGCCAAAAGGCCCAAAACCACTCAGGTGGCTGGGCCCAGCGTGAGCTACGCGCAATCGTTAGGCAGCGCACGACCGCATCTGGCCGTAACCCGGGCGGAACAACCCGATACCGGTTTTACGGATGAGCAACTGCTTGATTTCATCGACGCGGTAGCTGAGGCTCTGTTGCGCTCACCATCGGGCAGCAGCAGGTCTCAACTGCCGCAGTTCCTCCCCCTCCGGCTAGTCAGGAATCACATCCTGGTCACGGCCGCGAACCGTGAAAGTTTGGAGTGGCTTCGAAGGGAGCTCCCAAACATCACTTCTTGAGAGGGGGTCCCGCTGGTAGCAGTGTACCCCTTCATACTGCGTCTGCACCGGGCGATCCTACCAGGGGAAGGAGACACCAGTCTAACCAGGACACCCTGAAAGTACTGGAAAGTCAAAACCCTGGCCTCCCGTGCTCTCAATGGAGGGTATGGGAGCGCAAGGAGGACACTAAAAACCTCAGACTGGTGGTTGGGGTGGACGAAAAGTCCGCCAAAAGCATAAGGGAGAGGGGTGGCTCCCTACTATGGCATCACCGGGGCTTCTATCTCCCTTATGAAAGGCAAAAAGAGCAGTGGCTCCCAGGCGGTCCCCCTAAGGAGACCGACGGGGAAACTGCCAAAAACGAGGAGGCTACAGGCACCGAGCAAGCCGCCTCCGACGCCGGGAAGCCAGAAGATGGGCCAAAGGAAATGGAGGAAGGCGCCTCCAGCTCCGAGGACTGAACTTGATCTTCCTCCACCCCTGCAAGCGGCCAACATCTACTGCTGGTACCCTTACTAATTTCCAACCTTTGGTTCGATCGTTAGGCGACCGTGTATGATTTTAAACATACAACTTAATCATATTAAACATGCCAATAAAATTACTACAGGCTAATTTACAGCACGGAAAAGCATCTTCTGCTGTCCTGTGCAAAAGGCTCAACGAGCTTGACATTTCCACTGCCCTGATCCAGGAACCCTGGATTTTCCGGGGCGGGGTGAAAGGCTTGGGCCTGGCGGGAGGCGCGCTTCATTGCTGCGTACACTGTGAGAATCCTCGCGCCTGCATCCTGACCAGGAACGTGCAATGTTTTTCCCTACTTAGTCTCTGTACCAGGGACCTGGCAGTTATCAAAGTTTCGCTGGGAGAGAAAGGAGTCAGCGAGGACCTTGTAGTCTGCTCTTCCTACTTTCCTATCGATATCGAATCTCCTCGTCCCAACGTCATTGCAGTCTCAAGGTACTGCGAAAGCACGGGGCTCCCTCTGATCATAGGCTGCGACTCTAACTCGCACCACTGCCTATGGAACTGCAGAGACGAGAACCTCAGGGGACGCTCTCTGGCTGGCTTCCTGAGCTTCAGCGGCTTGGAGATCCTTGATCGGGGAAGCGTCCCTACCTTTTACTGCAACCGTGGTCAATCTGTGATTGACCTAACCATCTGTTCAACTAATATTGTGAATCTTTTTAAAACATGGAGAGTGTCCCTGGAGGTCTCAATGTCGGACCACAGGCACATTCTCTTCGAGTTGAATAAAGATACCAGCTGTGACAACCCAGTCTTTAGAAACCCGAGGCATACCAAATAAGACCTCTTTCGGGAGGAGCTCACAGGTGGGCTCTCGGATATGCCGGCAAGGTATAACCTTCCAGCCGACATTGAGATTGGGATAAACAAACTGTCCAGCGCAACTCTCCGGGCATACGAGGGTTGCTGTCCACTAAGACGGAAACCCCAAAATGCAAAAAATGTCTGGTGGAACCACACTAGGGAATTCCATCGGAACATTACGCGCCGGCTCTTGAGAAGGGCTGAACGCTCCAAACTCGTCGCCGACTGGGAAGCGTTTCACGCAGCCCAAAGGCAGTACAAAAAGGCGCTCAGGGATTCCAAAAGACAGAGCTGGAGGCAATACTGCGGGGATGTTGAAAAAATATCCCCAGCAGCTCGCCTCTGTAAGGCTCTGTCAAAGGAACCCGCTAGTAGAATAGGGTCACTGCCTCTTCCGGGCGGTGGCTTCACGACCAACGAACAGGAAATCCTGGAGGTCATGCTCCGCACGCACTTCCCGGGCTCCAGTTCAAACAACGCTGTCTTGGTCGGCGTTCGGGCCCCGATTAGCGCTGGGCACGACACCGTCAAAAAAGTAGTAAGTTATGAGAGAGTGATATAGGCGATTACGTTCTTTCCTCCCTTTAAATCTCCTGGCAAGGATGGAATCCACCCTTCCCAGCTGCAAAACGCTCGGATATCATCACTGTCCACCTGGTAAAGATCTTCAAATCTTGCCTCGCTCATAGATACCTTCCAGAGCAGTGGAGAGAGGTGAAGGTCGTCTTCATTCCGAAAACCCGACGGAGCGACTACTCCGACCCAAAATCGTATCGACCCATCAGCCTCACTAGTTTCCTGCTCAGGACTCTGGAGAGGCTACTGGACCGGTATGTGAAGGAAGGCATACTGGTTTCCAGACCTTTACACACCCAACAATACGCCTATCAGACTAGCAAATCCAAAGAACTGGCTTTGCACCACCTGGTCAGGAAGGTGGAAGGAAATCTGGTGTGTGGAAGGGCCAGTCTGGCGGCATTCCTTAATATTGAAGGGGCATTTGATAATACCCCTTTCAACATCATCTGCGGAGCGCTCGAAGGGCGTGGCTTAGAGCCCTGTCTGGTGAGATGGATAGAGGCCATGCTCTCGCAACGCCGAGTGTCCGCAGAGCTTAACAACGCGGTGGTTAGAGCGGTGGCCGCCAGAGGCTGTCCGCAGGGTGGAGTTCTATCCCCGACTCTGTGGTACCTGGTTGTTGACGACCTGATTACTGGCCTAAACAGGGCAGGCTTGTATACTCAGGCCTACGCCGACGACCTCGTTATCCTTTGTCCGGGTAAGACGCCGTCTCATTGCAGGGCCCTATGGCAAGGGCTCTGCGCATAGTGGATCGGTGGTGCCTTGCGGAAGGACTCAGGATAAACCCTAATAAGGCGGAGCTCCTACTCTTTTCCAGGAGACGCAACTTCGGCACACCGCCCAACATTTCTCTGGGAGGTGTGACTCTTAAATACTCCAGGGTGATTAAGTATCTAGGCGTGATGCTGGATTCTAAATTGGCCTGGTATGAACACGCAGAGAACAGGATGAACTGGATTCATAACTCTATAGTTAAACCTCTTCTCACGTACGGCGCAATCGTTTGGTGGCCTTGCACGGAGAAAGCCAAAATACGGGCGCAACTGGACAGAATGCAGCGCCTTTCCTGCGTCAGCATAACGGGGTCTATACGTATGGTCCCAACAAGGGCCCTGGAGACCCTCCTAGGTCTCTTGCCCCTGGACCTCGTGATTCAGTTTGAGGCCATGAGGACAGCCTATAGATTGCACGTCCTTGACGAAGTGCGCACCGGCGAAACCGGACACGCGAGAATTTGGTCTCAGGCCGCAGATAAATGTCCTGTCCTTCTGATGGGCAGCGATATCATGCAACCGGAGATTGTTCATAGCAAAGAAGTGAATGGCTGGGCGGCTCCAAGCCAACTGTACTGAATAGTGGAGGTATCTGGTACACGGATGACTCCAGAATGGATAACAGGTCAGGGGCAGGTTTTTGCGGAGGGTCCCCTAAAATTAGTAAATTCTTTTCTTTAGGGGAACACGCTACTGTCTTCCAGGCTGAAATTTTCGCTGCAATGGAGTGTGGCCGGGAAATTTTAAACCGGCGCCACAGGAATGCAGTCGTTTTAATCTGCTCCGACAGCAGAGCCGCTATCAAAGCCATTAATGGCTGACACTGTCCGCTCTAAGCTTGTAATGGAGTGCAAAAAAGTCCTGAGAAGACTGGTGAGTGCTGGCTGCCGGGTCCGTCTCGTCTGGGTGCCCGGTCACTCGGGCGTCGCGGGAAACGACGAAGCTGATTCACTTGCCAGACAGGGATCGTCGATGCCACCTGTGGGCCCTGAGCCCACGCTGGGCATAGCCATGTGAGGCTGTCGCGTCCCTCAAGGGTATCCTCGCGGAGCGATTCGTTGGGAGATGGATGGAAGCACCTGGAATGAGACAGGCTAAGGCTCATATTGATGGGCCCTCTGCCTGTTTCACCAAACAACTACTGCGCTTGAACAAACGCGAGATACGGCTAGTGACTGGTCTCCTAACCGGACACTGGCACCTAAGACGCCATTTGCACAACATGGGCATAACGGACGACCCGGAATGCCGCTGGTACATGGAAGAGGAAGAAACGGCTGACCACGTCATTGGTGAGTGCCCAGCACTCACGCGCGCGAGGTTCAAACACCTGGGTAAGTTGTATTGCTTGCCTGATGACGTCGAAAGGATGAAGCCATGGTGCCTGATTGGCTTTTATAAGGACATAGGCCTCTGGTAGAACTCAGTGGGGCACGACGGGTCCACCACAGGAGACCTATGTGCACTACGGTCACGGCCGCCCACTCTTTCATTCATTCATTCATTCCTCTAGCGGCAAAATGGCTGAAGATATCAGAATGCGGTTTGCACCAATGAAGATTTCATGGAATTCAAGCCCTAGAGTGAAGGATGTATTTCGCTCGAATATTGGACCAACCCTCCCTATCCATTTTTCCCCAAATATTATAGGTATATCTCGTGATTTCCTTGCTATTAAAGAATATTAGGTGGGGGCATCATCCTGCTGAAAAAAGATCTCATCCAAGATACCCTCCTGTCTTTATAAAAGAAAAAAAGAAATTTTCTAACATATCAGTGTACAGTTTTTATTATCGTTGGTTCATTAATTATAAAATGCTCCATATTTTTACTCAACGGAGATTGCACACCAAACTTTTTTTTGTGGTATCTCGCTGGAGCTCGTTAAATTCTCTTGCATTCTCTGAAGCCCAGATCCTACAATCCTACAATTGTGTTTACCTAGTACCTTCTATTCAGGTGGAAACTTAGCCTCATCTATACATATTATATAAAAGGCAAAAGATGTCTGTGTATCCAGGAGGTTCACCTACTTCTAGGTGAGCTAGAAACATGAAAGGCACAATTATAGACGCTTGTAATCTTATCAAAGACAAATTATCACATTTCACATTGTGATAATTCCACTCCTAAGCCCTCTTAGAGAGGTACGAAACTTTACATCAAAAGTCAGAATAAATATCAGGATTGGGTACCTACTTACTTACTTACTACTACTATATCGTCACCTATATAAATAATACCTACTTACTTATAATGAACAGAATACTCAAATACAGAATTTATTACTTAAAGGGGGTGTGACTCAAAAATTAAACTTTTGATGCAAAAAAATCTAAGAATAAATATTTAAACCACATCTTGCTACGATGGTCCGTTTTCGAGTTAGGGCGGTTTAAAGTTACAACTAGGTGTTTGTAACGTCACATGATCAGGCACAGTATTAACAGGTGTAAGAATTTTCCAAAACAAAAGACAATTATCTCCCTAGAGTGAATTGCATTCACTCAAAGTATAGGTACGGTTCACTGACGACTGAACGAACACAAGACTGCGATTTTGGCGGTTGGTGACATCACAAGTTCCTGCATAATTTCTCTTCACAAGGAATTTTCTCGGAGACTATTTTGAATGTAGGACTACGGTTTTCACGAGAGATTTAAGTATCTCAAGTTGTTTTTCAGGGTCACACCCCCTTTAACAATATAGGCTTTGATAGTTGCGATTACCTTATTGACAAAGCTAATTCAAAATCTGGATATAAGCGAATTAAACAAGGGATGACAAACTATTTTTTTAATAAAAGCAAGTTTGATGTAGTTGATTTTAAAAATTTCCAATAATCCAGGGGAATTCTAAGCTACATCGTTGTTACAAATACTTATAACTCAATAATTTGAAACACATTGAAAAAAAAAAAAACAATCATTTAATTAAAAAAAAACTCTTTATATTCAGCTCAACAAATTACATATATTCAGAAATAGATTCCTTGGTTGATCGAAATAATCTTCTTTGGAGCATCGAATTTATTTAAATTTTTCATAAAGTTATTAAAAGCTATGGAACTGCTTACAAGCCTTTTAGGTTCTTGTATAAAATTTGGCGTTGATCCAGTTCTCATGTTACCAAATTGCTTACACTTAGCGAGGTGAATTCTTATTGGATCTTGAATCTAGAATCAAAAGCAATTCCTGATTTTTCACATCATTTTTTCCAAGAATCAATTATTTACATTTGAAGGTTCAATAACTTTCTGTCTTATTACTTTTACAAACTTCTCACACCAATATATTGGCCTAGGACTGGGTTCACTACATTGTGTTTCCCACTCTGCCTCGCATTTAGGATCAATTAGAGAATCGGAAGAAAGAGTGATATCAGACTAAAAATATATAAATTCAATCACTCATTCAATAATACAAGTTAAAAAATAGTCCTTCGCATTATTAGCTAAGCCAGGTAACAGAGTTTTTACGACCGTTAGGCGAGCTTGTTTCATTCAAGAGCCAGTAAAAACTGTTAGGTAGGTAGGTACCTGGCGTATAATGTAGGTATAATCATTTATTTGTTAGGTATTCGTTTGTAAAAGATATAGGGACAAATAAACAATTAATAAGCAAATAAAGAGTGAAGGCTTTCTTGGCCGGTCAAATCTAGTAAAAAAGTTGTTTTCGGGGCTATAATGCCGTGGTCGAGTAATATTTCTACCTACGTTTCGCCTACTGCTGCGGTAGACATCTTAGAAAGATTACCCTCAGGGAAACTGGGATACAGAGTATATAGGAAGCCGACGCATACGGAAAAGAGAGGAGTCATTGAAACTCTATCTGACAGGGAAATCCGGATTCGTGAACCCAGATATCTTCAGGACGAGTTGAAATACCTAAAATCAGCACTTGAGATAAATAGAGCTATAAGACCAGAGCAAAAGCGTATAAATGATAAAGAACTAACACGGGTGGCAGGAAGAGCCTTTCTTCCCTACATCAAAAATGTCACAGATCGCACAGGACGAACGCTAGAAAAACACAACACTAGGCCCATCTACAAGCCCACAAGAACAATTCAGAAAAGTCTAAGATCGGCCAAGGGCACCCCTTGAAACGGCTGGCGTCTATAGAATTTTCTGCTCTTGTGGATCTTTCTATTAGGGAACAACCAAAAATGCTCTATCAACACCAGGGTCGAGTCAAAGAGCACGAAAGACACTGTCACTGCGATTCTTTTGGACCTTTCTAGAAACGTACTTTTTTTAGTCTAGAACCTAATATACGTCCGGCACAACGACCAACAGATTCAGATGTATGTCTTGACTATGGTAGGCAATGAATGTTATTTATAAGGTTGTTTTGCAATATTTGTTACAGTTAGTTTAATATGGTACTACTCATAGGTCTCAATTGCGTTGAAATTTTACGCAAGTGAGAGCTATCAACCGAATTAGCTGTGGCTTGCTTTTCACATACTCCACAAGAAGTTTCTTCTGCTTTTCACTGGCATTCGCACCCCACAGAATCGCACCCTTTCTCTTTTTGTTTTTGTCACTGCGTTTTGTGGTCACTGCTTTCAAAAAGGCAAAAACACGTCAAAAATTTGTCAAACATTCTAAAATTTCCGACGCTGCCAAATCAACCATATATACCTACTTATGTTTACGAATTCGCAATACTACGTTTATCCATTTGCGCACACCGGTCAAAAATGGGTTTATAGATACGTATACGTTTATTTTTGTTCGCAATTCTTCGAGTAGGTACGCAATTTAGCGTATATTGTCAAAAATTGACCCCCAGCTGATTGGAAACGAAAATAAGGCCTCTGCAGTGGAGAATAAACCAAAGCACCCAATTGTTACTTTCTTCGAAAGTTTGGCGGAAACAGTTGCCCAGTTTCCACCAGATATAATTGCCCGGACAAGAAGCAAAGCAGCTCAAATAGTGTGACAGACATGGAATTATAAAGTATTGCACGATCATCGAAAATGCCAGCTAACAATTAGTACGCCATGACTTTATTGAAAATTGATGAAAATTCTCCTATACAAGCACATCAAATTGTTACTCGGTATAGTCAACCATCCAAGGACCTTTTTTTTCAGTTATACATGTAAACCCCATACTTTGTGAGTGGCTTGCTTACATCAAGTCCTACAACTTTTCCTCTACGACTTTTCTCGGAAATGGCACGTATGCGCGCAAGCGACTCGCAAACATGTCGATCTGACGTAGCTATGTTTCCTGATACATGTAGGTAAATCTAATTTTACGAATACTGTTTGATTTTTATGTCTAAATCACCGAAATCAACTTGGCCGACAAAAATAATGGCAAATTGGGGGAGTCCGATACCCCTAAAATGTTTGCGAGTCGCCTGCGCGCATACGTGCCATTTCCGAGAAAAGTCGTAGAGGAAAAGTTGTAGGACTTGATGTAAGCAAGCCACTCACAAAGTATGGGGTTTACATGTATAACTGAAAAAAAAGGTCCTTGGATGGTTGACTAGTAGTAAGTCCCCATCACTCTGTAGCGAATAATATCAAAACCCCAGAAAAAAATATTTATTCGCAAGTGATCACTCAGATCACTGAACCTACATGTACAGGGTGTCCGAATTTGGATGGTTTTAATAGGAAACATCAATTTCTGAGCGAGATACAAAAAAATGAACCCCCCACTCCGAGGCTCAAATTTCTTGAAATTTCGATTGGTGCAAACCGCATTTTGACATCTTCAACCGTTTAGCCGCTAGAGGGCGATTTTCGATTTTTAGCAATATCGTGAAATCTTCATAACTTTTTTGTTTATGAAAATAACTGATTTCCGTAAAAACTTGCTAAAAGCACTTTTTCAAGCAGAATTCAGTGACGTTTTCAGTTTTTTTCTATTGGGCCTCAATTTCAAGATATTGACCAAAATCCGATTTTTTTCAATGGGACTACCTATGTATTAATAATTCATTAGAAAGCTCTGCTTTTACTGATTTCAATGATACAAATTTCGATAGGTTCATCTCTAACAGTTTTCGAGAAAAAAAAATATTTTGGCTTTTGTCATAAGAAACAATGAGTTAGAAAGAGACCTTTCTCAGTTTCCTTACAGATATATAGTTATTTTTGTATCAAGGGCGCGAAATGCTACTTTGGTGATCGAGATCTGATTTTTTTAACGAGGCGCAGCCGAGTTAAAAAAAAAAGCCGTCGTCGTATCATTCAAGTGACGTTCAATGAAAATGTTAGACGCTCCTTCTTGTGCACGACTTTAGGCCAGGGCAGTTAGCAAAAATAGGAGAAGTTTTTGCAATCAAGCTGATTTTTTCACAGATGATAGTACCCATCAATACTACTCTGTATAAAAAAGTTACACCTCCTAGGAGGCTTGCTTTTTCCGCTATGATGAATTGAAGATGGCGGCTGGTGCTATTCTTGAAAAAAATCGTAACTTTCTTATTTATTAACCGATTTTCGTCAAGTAAAAAAAAACACCTTTGTTTTGGACTAAAGAATGAAATGAAAATATAAAACCATTTTGACAGGTACTATTTCTGTCAAAAAAAATAATAATATAGGAAAATAAATTGAATTGGTTTTCTTCAATTTTCTTTGAACCTTAGCTGTAAACTTAGACCGTAGGTACTTCTTACCAAAAGAAGCTTAAAAATATGCGCTTTTTTTCTAATTTTGAAACAGTTTTTGAGTTTGTGATAGATTAAGTAATTCGCGAGATATAGTCGAAAAGAACTTGAGAATCCAAAAAAAAATAGCTTATGCAGGATGTGAAAACTCTATTTTTTGTATATACGCGCCTTAAAATTGCTATTTTTTGAACTCATTTCAGTCCGTAAATCTTTATTTTCGGCCCACACCGTAAAATGGTCCATTTTCGGCCTAGTTCCTAAAAGTCGTCATAGCAACCTTGTCAGTTTGCATGTACCTGTCGCATCTGCATAATCAGTTTAAAATTATTAATGTCGTCACATACACTTCACATCTTTGAGCTATTACAAAAAAGTATTGTTTGTTTCACGTACCTACCTAAAATAAAGGTTTTTTAGGTACCTACTTGTTACAAAAAATACATATCTTAGCTCGATTGATATAAAAACAGTTGCCTTTGGTTTTAATTGATTTTTTTTTTCTACTGCCTTGCGTGAAGTACTGACCTTACGCACTGTTTAACCTTGGATTAGATTTCACATACTATCGCGTAAAGATTCACAACAACAAAAAAGTTCTCTAAATTGTAGTTTCTTCGCAAAAATGCATAAATACCCACAAGTATAAAATTTTATATTATAAAAGCCTTTACTGCCCTTTTTCTGCATTAGAAATGTGATTTCACTTCACACTTTAGGTTGTGAACTAAGTTACTTTAGACACTATAGGGCCTAAAGTTGTGGTATATTTTTTTCAAATTTTTGGCATCGAGCGTTATGATCTATATCGCCCGCTTGCAATATTGTCGGTAGTAGAAAAAAAAAATGTATGCAACAGGTGTGTAAAGCTTCTTTTTTCATACATTTGTGAAAAAAGGTTCACTTCAGACATCTATTTATGTTTTATACCAAAAAAAATTCTAGTACCGACAATATAAAGCCATACATTTTAAAAAATATACCTACCACAACTTTACGCCCTAATGTCTAACTTAGTTCATCGGGTGTAAAGTAAAAGCACATTTTTAGTCCAGAAAAAAGACAGCAAAGGCTTTTGTGATATAAAATTCCATACTTGTGGGTATTTATTATTTATGTATTTTTGCGAAAAAACTAATGCAATTTAGGGCGGGTATTATAAAACTATTTTAACAGAATAACTAGCAGTTAACTTCTCGAATAACCAGGGTCGGATTAAGGTCTTCTGGGGCCCGGGGCTATTGTCACAAAAGGGGCCCCTAGATCCCTGAAATAAATTCAAATGTCACTCAAACAAAACTTTACCTTGCAGGTGCATTTATTACAGTGACTTTATACAAGACAGTGGCGACAGTGGGTTGTTTCATTTTTGATTGGTTCTCAGAATTACGTAGTTCATCCGCCATGTTTTGCCAAAAGGAATTTGTTTTTATCATTTAATCCTATCTCAATGAATCCTATGGAGTTTTATGCAATTTTGTTTTGACAAAACATGGCGGGTGGGGTGGGCCCTATCAAGGTTCCTAATGTCGCCACTGTCTTGTATAAAGTCACTGTAGCTTTTATTACAGTGACTCTATTACCCACAGTGGCGACAATTGCTGTCTCATTTTTGATTGGTTCTAAAATCCCATATATTTATATTGAAAACGCCGCCATCTTGTTCCCACCTATTGCTTATTTCATATATGAATATATGGGATTAAGGTGAACATTCATCATAAAACATGGAAAACAATGTATTTGATGGAC